CAGATGTTGGATTAGGTGGGCAGACCAAGTAATGATGATTACAGGACATACAATGTATGAAGCCATCCATGTGGCATAACACTGAGAGCAGTGGAAAGATACAATTAAAGCCATCAATTTGTAATATCATCACGCCCTTCGAAGGGCATAGGACTGAGAAGAAGAGATGACAAAAAAAAAAAACTAAAACGAACTATGCCTGCCCATGGAACACTTCAGATGGTTGGAGACTGCACATTTTTAAATCCAGTTTTATATCTACGTGCACACATTATAAAAAGGAAATTGCTATGTCAATGGCCTGTCATGAGTTGATTGACAACATGGTTTAGCTGTTTGTTGAGTCCTGGTAGGGCAATTCTCTGTGCAGGCATGATGTGATTTTAATAATTTTTTGAACTTATATTCGAAATCTTGTTAGAATTTTATTCCAAAATGAAGAACCATTGAGGAATTGTTAAAAAACCTGATGAAGGACTATGAAGGAATTCAAAAACGTTTTTATTTGCTTTTACCATCTACACACCGTAATTGGTTCAGAATACGTGATTAACTATATCCTGGTGTGGTGAGTGGTTGTTTACACTTGTTCTTCAACCTGCTTTTGTATATTTCAATTTTTCAGTGTTCTTTGGCGATGTAGGGGAATGTAGCGAATTAATGATGTTTCCCATTTTATCACTGATGCCATTTTGGAGAGTACTGTTATTGCAACCCTTTCTTACATTATATTGATCTTTAAGTCTAATTTTCAAGTTTCTTGTGGTGTCACCAATGTAATCCTTGTGAACATGCAGTTGGAGCTAGACAAGGATTCACATTTTCAACACTACAAATTATTGACATCCTTAATCGCAAACAACATATATGAACGTGTTGAAGAACATAACATTCTTACAGAACAACGAAAATGTTGCTATAGAAATCACTGGGGATGCAAAGAACAGTTACTCATAGATTCAGTTATTCAACAGCAAACACACAAACAACATAGAAATATATACATTGCATATATAGACTACAGAAAAGCATTCGACAGTGTTCCACACAGTTGGCTGCTACATATTCTGCACATGTACAGTCGAACCCCCCTATAACGTGCGTTTCTATAACGGAAATTCCTATAACGTAGCAAAAAAATTGTAGCAACATTCGTATAAAGGAGCTCCTAAAACGTCGTCGCCGACTCGTTTCGCAACAAGATTGATAGAATCTGGACCAATAGTGGATGAGCAGCCGAACTACTTTCCTCTGCCTTGCGCCATGCTATGGAGCGGCTAAATTGAGTTTGCTATCGTCTGTACAGTGTGAGTAGCAGGGGGCCACTGGGTGAACCCTAATGACCACTTAATCTGCACGGGTCGGAATGACCTGCTCTCGGTTGTCGGATGGCAATAGGAGGGCTAAAACTATGAGTGGGGAGGAGTCGGAAGTCGTAATGATCAGGTGTCCAATTGATTGCACGGGTTTAAATTAACGAACACATTTAATAAACAACTAAGAAAATTTACACAAAGATATTAAATACAACATACGCGTATCAAGATATAAATAGGTATTCTAAAATCTATTCTAACCTAACGCTAAAATCCGAGAGAGAGCTCACGTTAGAGAGAGATAAATAATAATGGCAAGGGTTTACCTCGAAGGCAACGTTCTCCAATTATAGGGCGTTGATAAAACACTCTGTGATCGTCGTCTTCTACTCTGTGGTGTCCTTTGAAGGCATTGTACCGCGTCACGACGCGCCAGCGGTCGTCGCTCCCAATCTGTAGAGAGTTCTTCCTAGTGAAGTTTGCTTGGAGGTTTCTTCTGTTAACCTCTTCGAGGAGTAATTCCGTCGTATCAGGAGAATAGAAAAATATTCAAAGTTTTTACCTTTGCATGGAGCGGCGATTATGAGCTTCGTAGATCCTGAGAGTGCTGGAAGATCGTGTGTCGATGTTTCTTCCCCGATGATCGCTCTTGAGGTTTGCAGAGGGGTTTCTTTGGCTTAAGCGCCCTGGCTCAGCCCCGAGTAGAAAATCCAACCCCTTTATATACTCGATCAGCGTGGGAAAAATTGAAAATTGTTGACGTCTTTTGACAGTTCTCCTTGATTTATGACAGTCTCCCGCGACTTATTTGGTCATTTTTATCGTCCGGTCGCTCGGACGTATGGGGGTCACGTGACATCGTGGTCCCTCGTCGATGACCTTCAGCCGACAAAAGTCACCCTCACTAACTACGCAGTTAGTGAAAAAATAAAAACAGTGTCCGTATTCTCACAACAGTATTATATATAAATTATATATAAATTAGGTACTGTATATATAATTATATATTAACTTAATTTATTGTAACTTTATTATAATTATATACAGTTGTCCCTTGATAATCCGACACGTATGGGACCAAAGGTGTGTCGGATTACCAAAAGTGTCCGGATTACCGAAAATAATTACATATTTCGCAATGTTTTGCTAGCAGTAACTTACAATATTCTCTACTCCAACTGTTTGAACAGAACTGCTCACATAAAACACACAAAATGTGTGTCATCGAGTAAGAATTGGATGGAGAGATTCACATCGCAACATGCTTCTGTGCAAGCAGACACGTAACGGGACGGGTACCTTGATGGGAGGTGCGTCGGACTACTGAGCATGTCGGATTAAAAAACGTCGGACTATCGAGGGACAACTGTA